AAGAGCCCCAAGACCCTCCCAGCACTTCCCAGTGGGTGCTGATGGCACAAACACACCAGGGACATCTTGCCACTCCTCAGACATCAGTACAGCACTCATGGGCTTGCTTCTCTCCGAAACCCCCAGCCATAGGCACTGCTCAGACAAACTGCTGCCATTTTGGAGACCCTGAGCTTCCTGGCAGCACCCAGAGCACTTGGGGCCCAGGGAGACTGGCCAAGGCACTGTTGGCTGCTGCAGCCTGATCTGCCCACTGAGCTCAGGGCCACGCTGAGGAATCCCTTGGAATCACCAGAAACACACCCTTCTCTCAGGGTGGTCTCAGGCTGTTGGGACACTGCTGTTAGATGGGACATGTCACGGGGTACACGTATGACACGGCTATATCGGCAGTCGGTATCTGTGCCAGCCCTCACTCTGGCATGTGCCTGCAGAAGGGGTCCTCAGGCAGGGCCGGAGTGCACTGCCAGGTATGCACATCTCCAATCAACGGCCAGGCAGAGGGCAGGAGAGCATGCGGAGGAGCAGCCCTGGGCTGACAGGAGCTCCCAGTGCAAGGACAGGCACTGAGGACACTGCAAGTGCTGGCAAAGCCCCAGTGGCCCAGGGCAGTTGGGGGCTGGGGTAGTCAGGAGAGGCCGGGCAGCAGGTTGGCACTGCCTGCATGGGGCCGTATCTCCATGGACTGTAACTCATGGGGTGACCCTGGCAGATGAATGGGGTCCCACATGCAACCCTGTTCCTCTGCCCAAGGCCAGAGCTCCTCCCCTCTGAACGTCCCCTTTGCTTAGGCTGAGGGACTTGTGTCTGCCAGGAGGCACAATCCAAAAGTCTCTTGCCATCTTCTACCCTTTCCCAGGGAGGTCAGGTGAGCAGCTCTTGGTGCCTCTGGCGTGGTGGGAACTGGCACACGGTAATGACAGACTGGTCCTGGCTGAAAGGGAGGAGAAAGATGGGAACCAACAGAAACCAAGGGGCAGGGAGGGGGGATGCATTTCCCAGTGCCAGGCACCAAACCAGGGTGGGCTGAGCCAGTTCAGGGGCCAGGCGGGGGTGGGCACCCGGGGTGGGCTCTCATTGCTCTTTCCTCAGGGACCAGGGACACTAGCAATGACAGTCCCAGCTTGGTGGTGTGACCAACCACACTGGGCCCTGCTCCGGCCTCCGCTCGTTGCTCCCTGAGGGCACAGCCAGGTCCCTTCCCCTGTCCTGGCCTCACAGGTGGGGAACAGGCTGGCCCTTTACCTGAACACATCAATCCAGCATCCCGACCGTGATTACGGTTGTGTTGATCCCTTCCATGTTGTTTACAGTCAGACAGGGCATACTCGGTGCCACGACAGTGAACTTCATCCATCCAAATGGGGCCAGATACTGAGCCAAAGTGTCTGTACTTAGGAGCTTTAACAGCAGACCGACAGCCCAGCTGCTTACAAACCACTGCAGCATCGGCCATGTCCCAGGAATCGTCACACATGGTCCCCAGTTGGCCCTGGTGTTTCACCTCCACTCTCCCAGCACAGCACCCGCTGCCATCCTCCAGCCTCAACTCTTCAGCCCCTTCAAACACCAACATGGGACTGGTCAGGAGAGCACCAAGCTCCAGACTGCAGGTCTGGAGGTCCCCTCTTCCTAGGCCGAGTCACAGGCACTAGGGTGGGAGCCCTTTCCCCTCCGGGCTCTCCCTGGGGCAGTGTCGGTGTCCCTCCACTCCCCATGGGCTGTGTAGGCTATGGGCACTAACTCCTGACCTGCTGGGCCATTTTCTGCCCCACAGCCCCTGTCCACCGCCTGCCGCAGCACCACACAATCCTACCACCTCCCCAGGGCTCTCTATGTCCCCAGGGAGCAACAACACAATCCTGAGCATCCCCCAACCCATGTCCCCTTGACGCCACTGGCATCAGCGCTGGGGCCCCAGGAACAACATCGCACTACTGTCTCTGTGTGCAGACGCGCCGATCCCCTTCTCTCTGTGGGGCACAAACTTCCCTCCTGGGGTTAGGGTCCCCCAGAAGCAGGGGGCAGTGAGCAGCACACAAACCCTCTGGGACACCCTGGAGATTTGCTGTCCCCTGGGGATCACTGAGTGTCACTGTCATCAGCTGGGGCACTGCCGACTCCAGAGGCACAGCACTGGGGAACAGGGGATCCCGAAAGGGTACCCCAGGATGGGGAGTCTATAAATGCAGCCAGGCATGGGCTGCCCTAAATAAGTGGAGATACCCTCTCCCATCCAGAGAGGCACGGGGAAATGCATAGGGTCCATGGACTTGAGCACCTTCTGCCCCTCATCTCAGTGGCACCTGCAAAGAAACCCTATTCCCAGAGGTATCCTGATGACCCCACTGATGCCCGCTGGCCCTATCTGTGGGACAAGGGAGCTGGCACTTACCCCTGCACAGCTGCACCCAGAGGAAAAGCCACATCAGCTGAGGGAACAGGAGTCCCTCCATCCCCATCCTGAGCCTCCTGCCCTGCTGGCACAGCCCTGCTGCACCCCACTCCCTCTCACGGCTCCTGGGGACTCACAGGGACAACAACGGTGGGAGGGTAATATATCTCTGCAGATGCCAACCCAGATGCAGGAGGAGCCAATCAAAGCAACAGCACCTTTTTAGACATGATCAGGAGCTATGTCCCCTCCGACACAGCCCAGCCCTCCAATGGACTTCTCCAGTGCCATTCATGACCATATATGAGGGATGGCTCCACTTTGTGTGTCACGGTCACTGCGGTGGGGGATCATCACAGGACAGGGCTGCGTGGGAGTGGGGAATGGGTCTGTCACCCCTTGCACCTTGCTGTGGGGATCAGGAGCACTGATCATCTCCTACACTGGGTACATCCAAGAGCCCAAGAGGCAAATGTCCAGCCATCCCCATGCTACAGGAACCACAGGGCTGGGACTGCACCAAGGTCTGTGTGAGGATGGGAAGGAAACAGCCCCTGACCCTCCTACAGACCCCACTGTGCTGGGAACAGCAGCTGGGAAAGGTCCTTGGCCAGTACAAGAGCTCCATCCCAGGAGTGCTGGCTCGCCCAGCCCTCCCTGGAGAGCCCCACAGTGGGTCCTTTGCAGGAGCCGGAGCTGGGACATGTCCCTGCCCCAGCAGCAGACATGCAGCCCAGAGGCTCAGACGTGTCCCTGACTCTCACCCTGTCACCGAGGGGCCGTTATTCCCTGCGGGTGGCTCAGGAGCTGGAGCCTGCAGGTGCACAAACCACAGCCCATGTGGCCTCGCAGCGCTCTCTGTGCTCCTCCTGCAGCGCCTGTGCAGGAAGTTTGTAGATTCCTCCTGCCACTGTGCCCAGGCACATCCCTGCGGTGCCCCTGAACCACCCCCACCCCAACTGCTCCAACCAGGGCTGCAGGGGAGACACGCCCCTGGGCAGCTCCTGTCCCCCGTAATGCCCCTCTGAGGCACACAGCTGCCCTGCACCAAGCCCCACGGCCATGGGGTGCCATCGGTGATGTGACCTCACACCCTCCTACTTCTGCTGCTGTGTGCTCATGAGTTTCACTGTCACATGTGTGGGTGTGCTGTGTATGGGTTTCTGCTGACCATGGTTCTTCCAAAAAGCCATATTTGGATGGGGTCTAAATATTATTTTGATGACATCACAGCATCCACACAAGCCATATGCCTGCTTGTTGCCTAAAAGCTACTCAGGCACCAGTGAAATCACAAATTTGTGCACAAGCCATGTGCATACTCCTGGCCCATGTGCCACTCAGCCACAGGTGATATATCATCTAAACCTGCCATGTACCTGTTCCTGGCTTATCAGGTATTCAGACACCAATGACCTTACAAACACCTAGACAAACTATTGGTCTGCTCCTAACCTATCAGCTACTCAGGCACCAGTGACACCACAACAACCTACACCACCCATGGGCCTGCTCCTGGTCACAAATGACGTTGCAAACACCTACACAAGACAAATTCTTACCCCTGGCCCACCAGCTTCTCAGGTCCCCGTGACCTCAAAATATCGAGCACAAGACATGTTTCTCCTGACCTACCAGCTACTCAGGCACCACTGACCTCACAAAGACATTCACAAGTACTCATAGAATCATAGAATCATGGACTCATTAAGGTTGGAGAAGACCTCTAAGATCATCGAGTCCAACCGTCAATCCAACACCACCATGCCTACTAAACCATGTCCCTAAGCGACTCATCTACACGTCTTTTAAATACCTCCAGGCATGGTGACTCAACCACTTCCCTGGGCAGCCTGTTCCAATGTTTAACCACTCTTTCAGTAAAGAAATTTTTACTCACGTCCAATCTAAACCTCCCCTGGCGCAACTTGAGGCCATTTCCTCTCGTCCTTTCGCCAGTTACTTGGGAGAAGAGACCGACACCCACCTCGCTACAGCTTCCTTTCAGGTAGTTGTAGAGAGCGATGAGGTCTCCCCTCAGCCTCCTGTTCTCCAGGCTAAACAACCCCAGTTCCCTCAGCCGCTCCTGGCCTATCATCTACTCAGGCACCAGTGACCTCAGAAGCACCTACACAATCCATAGGCCTGTTCCTGGCCTATCAGATATTCAACACAGAGTAACCTCACAAGTAGGTATCTGCCCATTTGCCATGTACTTGCCATTCATGTATTCAGGCTCCAATGACCTCCCAAGCACCTATACAAGCCATGTACCTGGTCCTGGCCTATCAGCTACTCAGGCAAGAGTGACATCACAAGTACATACCCAAGTCATGTGTCTCCCTCTTGCCTATCAGCTACTCAGGCACCAGTGACCTGATCACCACATATCCACCTATTTGCTATCTCCTCACCTATGAGGTATGAGGGAACAAGTGACCTCCACCCAATCACTTGCTCACTCCCTCCCAGCAGGATGGGGGAGACAAATGGAAGGCCAAAATGGGAGACAAACTCATGGGTCAAGATAATGACACTTTAATAAATGGTGAAAAATAAAAAAAGGAAGGAAACACGGGATGGAGAAGCAATCACTCACACCAGGAGAAAGATGCCCAGCCAGTCTCCAAGCAATGGCTACTTTGGAGAAACTCCCCTGCCAGTTTTAGTGCTGAACAAGATGCCATATGGCATGGAATATCTCTTTGGTCCATTCGGGTCAGCTGTCCTGACTTTGTCCCCTCCCAGCCTCTCGCCCACCCCCCAGCCTCCTCGCTGTGGGGTCAGAATGAGAAACAGAGAAGGCCTTGACATTATGCCAGCACTCATCAGCAATAGCTACAACATCAGTGTGTTTTCAACACTGTTTCAGTCACCAGCACAAAGCACAGCACCATAAGGACTGCTATCAGGCAAATGTACTCCAGCCCAGCCAGACCCAGGACAATCCCCATCCCTTATTCCATACCGTTTGCATCCTGCTCAGGTCCTGCAGTATTCAATGCATTTCCATCAGCCACCACCACCCCCTTCCCTGTCCTTTGGCATGACATAAACACAGTGTACTGGGTGTGGCTGGTGTGGCTCAGGTGGACCTGGGCAAGTACCAGCCCACTCCTGACTTCTCCCCTCACTCAGTCATCTGGAGTTTTTTGAAACATTTGATCAGGTCATCAATCTAAGGACAAGGCAAAACATGTAGCACCAGCCTGCACCCCACAATGGTCTTACAGGTAGCTGTGAGATCCCCCACAACCATGGGAAAGGAAGCTCACCACCACCACACCTTCTTGGTGTGACACCTCAAAATACAGTCTGCAGTTCACAGGCCTATTGGATGTTTTTTCTCGTTCGTGTGGTTCTTTTTGGTGATTCCCTTTGGGTCTTTTCCTCTTTGTCCCCATGAATGTGTTCTGAAGTTGGCATTTTGCCCTGGTTTTCCATTTTCACAGCCCACATGGCCTGTGTCTTGCAGCATCGTTCAAAGCCCAGAGTCTGCCCCAGGAAGCCTGCATGGCCGCCCTGCAGGGCTGGGCTGGCATGTGGGGGCCTCCCAGTCCATCTCACAGGACTGACCCCTTCTTTGCACGTGACAGGGTTTGTTATGGGAGCCCCTTGGAGGCCTCCTAGAAGGGGGCCGTCACCCTCGGGCATGTTCCAGCTTGTCCACACCCCACCACCTTTTGGGCACCCCTCCACCCTCTTGAAGTCCCCCCCAACCCCAGACCTGGTGGGGCTTGTTCTGGTAAAGTGGGGGACCCCGACCTGGCCTTTTCCTTTAGTTTCTATTCACATTTAAAATTTAATTCTTCACTCCAATAGCTCTTATTAAAGAAGGTTTTATCCTTTTCATACCTATGCTTTTGTGGCTATATTATTTTAATTTCTATAGCTGTATACATCTTCATATATATGTAAATATATAGACATATACACATATATAAATGTATATACATAAAAATACCATATCTCTTTTTAAATAAATACATTTTAAAATACAATTAGACACTCCCTTTTATAGATATATTTCTATATATGTATATATTGTCTATATTTTTATATCTCCGCCCTTCCTGGTCCAATGGAGGCAGGCAGCCAATCACAGGGCTACCGGAGAACACATGGGTATGACAGAACCTAGAAATGGCTGCCAGCCAATCACAATGCAGGATGAAAACACA